CTTTCACATTTCTTTTATTTTTGTGTTTGAAGGCTGACAGAGACTCGTAGGAGATCACAGCAGCAGACTTCTCCTCTCTGTACCTGTGTCAGAGCTGAACACTCCATGTATTTAACGGCCTTCAGCTCATGAGCCAGCTTCTCTCCGCTCTCAAAGGTCACCGGTTGCTGTTTGTTCTTGGCCAGCGTCTCCAGGGTGGCACCGTCGTCTCTCAGATCCACCTGAGTCCCCACTAGCAGGAAAGGCACCCGTGGACAGTGGAATAAAATCTCTGGTACCCACTGTGAACAGATAAGTTTAAGATTATGATCTTTATGCCTTTCTTTTTTAGTACCAAATTCAGATTTTCTTTCTTCCAGCTTGAGTCTCTCTTTAACCATTAATTCTAATAGTTAGTTCTAAATATTAATTATTAAGCAACCATTTTATTGCCAACTTTGCCTCATTGTTTTCCCCTTTCAGCTTTTTTCTTGGGAGTAATAACAAATGGGGGCTGATCCAGGATTGTGAAAAAAAGCATCTGGAAATGGTAGTATTTGTTTGTGAGTTGCCACCTGTTTGTCATATTTCTGTTTTTCCTGATGGCCAGCAGGATCACTGCAGGTTCTGCTTCAGGTAAGCAGATGAACAATAACCTGGTCATGTAGCAGCTCCTGGTATTCTCTGCTTTGTGTTGGAACCTGAAGCTGATTGGAATCATTTGAGGGACTAACACGACAGGATCACAATCAAAACTCATTTTTTGCGTTTTTCAAATTTGGAATTTAAAGCTAGTGGATTCATTTTTTGTACATTCTTTGAACCGATTTAAACATTTAGGTGGTTTGCTTATTATTCTGGAAACAATTAAAATAAAAGTGAACCAAACAGACCTTCTCTCTGATGCTATAAACTGTTGAGGGTGATACGACAGAGAAACAGACGAGGAAGATGTCAGTGTCGGCGTAGCTGAGGGGTCGCAGTCTGTCATAATCATCATGGCCTGCAGGGGGAGACACAAAACGAGTCTGAGTAGCAAAAAATAGTGCGAACAAATGAAGGCTGAAAAATGCCTCCCAAGTGAGGACGTTCCCGTAGATTCTACATGCTAAAATGTCCAACCTCACAACAGACACGAACATCCTCCTGAGGCTGCATTTGCAGGCCGATTGCGTCACAGCGACGCGACAAAAGCCGTCCAAATTCGTAGACTCCGACAAATGCAGCCGACAAATGCGTTCTCCTTTTCCCCAAATTTGAAGTATGGGTCGGGTGTGTCCTTTGTGGCCCACCATATCCCAGAATTCACAGCGCGGCCCAGCCAATTTCAGTTTTAAAATGACTCTTATTACTCTTTCTGGGTCACAAAGTAAACTTTTAAGATATTTTCAGGCGAGAATGTAGCTGTGCAAACTTCAAATATCGGTTTATCAAGATATCACATATTTGCAAAAGCGCTCCGACATTTTTGGAGACATCTGTTACCCACCACTCGATAGCTAGCCGGGGCGATAACAGCGTACTCCCGCACATCGTTTTGTGTTTCCTCCGTGAGTTTCTCCCTTTGTGGCTTCCTGTGGATTCAGGTTTCAGTTCTGTTTTATTAGATTTCCCAGTTTAGGGTTTTTGTGTATGTCATCTCCACTCCTGCTGTGTCCTGCTCTCTTTGTGAATAAAGCTCACTCACATCTAAGTCACTGCCTACATTCTGGGTCCTTATCTTACCTCCAGCTGGCTTGCCTCGCCAGCTGGGACACCAGCATGTATCAGCAGAATGCATTTCATGGGTAAAATCAGCTTGACAGTGGGAAAAATAAAGACACAAGTGTCATTTTATTTCAGTTTGGACATTAGCCTGCCCATACTATCAATTCTGTATTTGTAAAACCTAAAGTTTTCCCCCCATTTTATCTGCAAGGAGATGTAAATAAATCACAAGTTCATTGAGGACTGTCTCACAAGTAGATAAAGAATGTCCATCTTTTATGTACAGGCTATGCCAACACTAATCTAAACCTTTTTATCTAATTATAGGTTTGTTTATTTAATTTGTATCACTTGAAGATTGATATTATACAACACAGAGTTTCATTAGTTATTAAACTGAGAGCAGAAATGTTTGTCTTTACCCGAAGTGTCGCACATTTTCAGAGTGTACTCCTCCTCTCTGATCATCACCGTCATGGAGTAAGTGTTCACCACCTGGAGGAGACAGAGGCTGAGGAATGAGAACAAGAAAGAGACAACAGGAAGGAAGTAAACCCGCCAAAAGGACTTGATTACAGATGTTCTTCATAATAAAACTGGATTTATTCCATGCACTCACACTGATTTATCAAAGCAGTTTGGGCTTCAGTGTCTTGACCAAGGATCCTTACACAAAAAATCTTTTTCATCATAAGTGGTGTTTAACTTGTATGTTTTTCAACACAACACAACACAAATAGGCCATTAAAAACACTCCTCTGTGTAATATTATGGGTTCATAAATAGTAATAGCTTCATCACAGTGTTGAAAGGGGC